AATATTTTTGACCCGTCCGTCCGTCAGTCCGTCAGTCCTGTTTTTTTTTTTTTTTGGTCAGCGCAACTCCTCATAAACCGCTGCACAGAATTTCGTCAAATTTTGCAGATAGTTAGCACACAATGTGTAGATGTGCATTTTACCTGGAAATTCCGATTCCATTATTTTTTCTGGGAATTTCGGCACTTCTCAACTTAGATTTTTGGCCATATGTAGAATATAGAGATGAACAGTTTGTTAGTGCAACTCCTCTTCAACTGCTGCATAGAATTTGGTTAAACTTTGCAGATATATAGTACACAGTGTGTAGATGTGCATATTACCAGGAATTTCCGATTCCATTACTTTTGCCTTAAGAGTTTTGCCTATTATTGAAGAAACTTTCCAGCTAGGTAATAAGGAAATCCGCTGGAATCAGCTTTTGTAATGAAATTTTATGTGAAATAATTAATGATCTTAAAAGACCCTTATTGATTTTGAGATCAAAATATTAATGATTTAACACACACACACAATCTTGGATAGTTCTCACCCCCCCCCCCCCTCCCTTTCAAGTTGGTGCTTTGCCTTAAATAATTTCATAAGTACAGTATATAAACAAATTCATATGACTACATCATAGTTTTGTTACCATCAATTATTTAAATGTGTAAATTTTCATGTGTTGGACATGGACTTACACTCATTAACAAATCATTACACAAATCGAAATCACTGAGGAATTTTTAAACATAACAGTTTGTCAGCATAACTCCTGCACTGAATTTCCTGAAACTTTGTAGGTATTTCAGATATAATGTATAGATTTGTATATTTCCAAGAAATTTTGATTCTATTATTTATCTAGAAACTTCAGCCTAATTAAATTTGTAACACAAGAAAGATCTGAATGTCCTTATTTGCAAGAAGTTTTGAGTTTTTGCAAGTAATGTCCCTTTTTGATTTATACTGTGTATTTAAAATGCACTGTGCCATTCATTACGTGTTGCATTGTGGAGTTTTGGGGGAGCGTGGGGTGTGTGAGCTTGCTCACTTTTTCTTTCATCAATTGTATAAAATCATCTAGAAGAACAGATGATACAAACAAAACAATGGATGTCGGAGGGTCGTATTATATATTTGTAGACCTGTTTTGGTTGTAAATGTTGCAAATAATAAATCTCTAAAATTTGAAATTGTAAACCTTCTATTATGTTCAAAATTCCAACTTTTCTGCGACCATCCTTTATTTATGTATATACAATTTTTTGTCTTTTAAGCTCACCTGAGCTGAAAACTCAAGTGAGCTTTTCTGATCACCCGTTGTCCGTCCCTCTGTAATTTTTCACATTTTTAACTTCTTCTCATGAACCACTGGGCCCATTTTAACAAAACTTGGTACAAAGCATCCTTGGGTAAAGGGGAGTAAAACTGTTAAAATGAAGGGCCAAGCCCCCTTCAAAAGAGAGATAATAAAGAAAAGACAAAAATTGGGTGGGGTCATTCTTCTCAACAACCACTGGGCGAGAAAAGCTGAAACTTATATGGAATGTAATATATGGAGATAACGAACAGAATTCAAGCTAAAAAGTCCATTAAACAATACAAAATAGGAACAGAGCAAACACGGACCTCTAAACATCAGAGGTGGGATCAGGTGCCATGGAGGAGTGAGCATCCCCTGCCGACCGGTCACACCCGCCGTGTGCTCCTTGTCATGATCAGGAAATAACGGGAAATTCCGTCGACAATTCAGTGTGTAAATAATGGCCTAACAATTAGTATGAAAAACGTCAGTTAGCATTTGACTCGATGATAAATTGTATTTGCTGACAAGGTCATTGTATCGACCACAGAACTTACGAAATGATGACTTTAAACGAGACAGCTGATATTCTTGTTTCATCAACTTGTTTGTCAATAATTTACCTCGTTTTAGAAATTGTTCATACGTAGAGCATGCTCTTGCGTATCGAATCAACTGAGAGATATATACCCCGTATGCCGGTGATGAAGGTATACTGCTGCATAAGTAAGGGAAGTTGACGATTGAAAAGTTAAAGTCATCACGTTTATCATAAAGCTTGGTTGTTAGATTACCATTAATGTCTTTTTCAAGTAAAATATCCAAATATGAAACAGATGTGTCAGACTCTGTGGTATCTTTTATCTCAAGCTCACCAGGATATATCGTATCGATATAAGAATGAAAATAACCATTGTTAATTGACAATACACCGCCGATATATCTAAATGTCGAGTTGAAGGCCACAGCAAGTGTTTTCTTCTTTTCACGTACAAGATTTTGGACAAATTCTGCTTCATATGAATTCAAAAAAAGGTCTGCTAATAACGGGGCGCAATTGGTACCCAAGGGAATTCCAATAGATTGTTGGAAGACCTGGTCTCCAAAAACCACATAGATATTGTCAATCAGAAATTCAAGCATCTTTTTAATGTCAACTTCAGAGTACTTGTGTGTACAATCAGAATGTTTTTTAACAAAATAATTTTGCAAATGACCAATGACAAGGTAAGTATATTTACGAGTTCCATTTTTATTGAAAAAGCAGCTGTCAATTATATCAAAAAGCCTGGACTTTAATTTATCGTGGGGAATGGTTGTGTATAAAGTAGAAAAGTCATAAGTTTTTAAGCTGTTGATTTTGGTAAAATCTTGCGATTTCAAATTTTCCAAAAGTTCCTTGGAATTTTTAAGTATCCACATCCGATTTACACCACTTCTCGAATATATTGTTGCACAGTACTCTTGAAGTTTCTCCTTCACCACTGTTAATATCTTAGTGAGGAGTAAAGAAAGAGGCTTGGTTGAACATTTACTGGAACCCGCTATGTATCTTTGTTTGTAAGGATTTTTATGAAGTTTCGGAATCCAATATAAATATGGTAATTCAAATTCATTTTGGTTGTTTGGAATATTCAAAATATTCAAAACTGACATATGATTTTGAAGAATCCTGATTTTGAAGCATCCTGGGGTAGTGTAGATTTTAAATTGTTCAAATCATGACCCCCGGGGTAGGGCGGGGTCACAATAGGTAATCCAAGTTTTACATTGAAATATATAGGAAAAATCTTTTTTTTTCGAGAACCACTGGGCCAGAAAAGCTGAAACTTATGTGGAAGCATCCTGGGTAGTGTAGATTTTAGATTATTCAAATCATGACCCCGGGGGTAGAGTCGGGCCACAATAGTAATCCAAGTTTTATATTGAAATCTATAAGAAAAATCTCCTTCTCAAGAACCACTGGGCCAGAATAGCTTAAACTTATGTGGAATATGTGGAAGCATCCTGGGGTAGTGTAGATTCTAAATTGTTCAAATCATAACCGCCGGGGGTAAGGTGGGACCACAATATTGAATCCAAGTTTTACATTGAAATATATAGGAACAAGATGTGTTTGTGAAACACTGATGCCTCCGTATGGCAGCTTATGGCGAAGGTTAAAGTTTCTTCAAATGCAAGTCAAAATTCAGGCCAAAAGATAAAAAATGTTGATACCCAAAGAAAGGTCTTGTCTCGAGGAATACACCTGTGAAATTTGAAAGACCTAGATACAACTGTTCAAAAGTTATGGCGAAGGTTAAAGTTTTTTAAATAAAAGTCAAACGTCAAGTTCAAGGTCAAAGTGGTTGGTATCCAAAGGAAGGTCTTGTCACAAGGATTACATATGTGAAGTATGAAAGCCCTAGCACCAACCATTCAAAAGTTATGGACAAGGTTAAAGTTTTTCAAAAGTAGGTCAAACTCCAGGTCAAGGTCAAAGGGTCAAAGTGGTTGGTATCCAAAGGAAGGTCTTGTCACAAGAATTACATATCTGAAGTATGAAAGAACTAGCTCCAACCATTCAAAAGTTATGGCCAAGGTTAAAGTTTTTCAAAAGTAGGTCAAACTCCTAGGTCAAGGTCAAAGGATCAAAGTGGTTGATATCCAGAGGAAGGTCTTGTCACAAGGAATACACATGTGAAGTTTGAAACCCTAAGACCCAACTGTTCAAAAGTTATGGCCAAGGTTAAAGTTTTTCAAAAGTAGGTCAAACTCCAAGGTCAAGGTCAAAGTTGTTTGTATCCAAAGAAAGGCCTTGTCACAAAGAATACACATGTGAAGTTTGAGACCCAAAGCACCAACTGTTCAGAAGTTATGGCCAAGGTTAAAGTCTCATAAAATTTTTCAAAAGTGGGTCAAACTCCAAGGTCAAGGTCAAAAATGATGATACCCAAAGAAAGGTCTTGTCACAAGGAATACACATGGAAATATGAAAGTCATAGCTCCAACCAATCAAAAGTTATGGGCAAGGTTAAAGTTGACAACAGAAAGACAAACAGACAAACGGACAAACAGACAGACAGGACAAAAACAATATACCCCCGGGATCTTTCGATCCGGGGGCATAAAAATCTTCTCAAGAACCACTGGACCAGAAAAGCTGAAACTTATGTGGGATCATCCTGGGGAAGTGTAGATTCTAAATTGTTCATATCATGACCCCGGGGTAGGGCTGGGCCACAATAGGTATTACAAGGAGGAAATCAGGTGAAGAACAGCAGGGCCAAAGTTACTCAGGTGAGCGTTGTGGCCCATCGGCGTCTCGTTTTAAAATCCATTATTGCAAAACTTTGAATTAAAAAAAATTAAAAAAAATTCAGTTAAACTTACTCATTTTACTTAAATAAACTTGACTTAATTAATTTAGTATTTTCAAGTTTAATATTTGATAAAAGTTTGTTGTTATCATCTGTCATTAAAGTAAATTTCAATATATGATATCAATATTTATTTGTTTTTGTGTCAGTATGTAATCCATATAAAAATCACTAATATCAAATCTTTTGATTTCTTAAATTCAGCATATATTTATGTTTAAGAAAACACAAGAAAATGTCAAAGTGAATACAAGTAGATACATATCCTGTATACCATAATACTTGTAAATACATGAACAATAGATCAGATACTATTAATTTAATCATAATATGGTACAAAGTACATGTAGTATGAATAAGAAGTTATTCTTAAGGAAGGTCTATATAACTAGCTTGAAGTGCAGGAATGATGTATCTTTCAAAAAATTTACTAGCTTTGATCACAATGTTTTGTATATTTCCTCATCAAAATATATCCGGTCAACAATAAACCCTTTCTTTGTAAAAAAGACAAAATCACACCAATTCCTATGGCACACACCCAACTGACCTTGTATCTGAATGTACCAGGGAGAATCAATCTTTAAGCGAATATTTTCATTCTCGTCTAAAGTGACATGGTAATGATCATCCATGCATGCTTCTTTCGGATCTTTATTTTGATATAAAAATGAACATTTCATCTCTAAAAGACCCTCACAACATTTGCATTTTACTAGGGCATCTGGTGAAGCCCCTAAATATGGAGAATCAGGGTCAATAAATAACCCACACAACTTTACATCAGTTTTTTTGTGATCATGCTTATACTTTTCAAAGTACTGATGTCTAGCAATAGGTTCATTTAAAGTACCAAAGGACATGGCAGGAGTAGCTCTTTGTGTTGATCTTCCCATGATCTGTTTAGAAATATAATTTTCTTGACTTTCAGTAAATCTGAAATGTTTGACAGAAGAAAATATGGAAGCTGTTATTCAATCTTTCTGTGAGCAAACCATTCTGAATTTTCACTTTGACCTAGTAGACTCCTCAATTTGACCTATGCGTTCGGTGTTAAAAATTTCTCTTAGTTTTTCTTGATGGAACACATATCACCTGTTAAGTCATCCCGATTTGTCTTGAACGCTTCTTCCATAGTAACAACAGTGCATTTTTCATCGCCATTCTCACTGTCCATATCTTCACTATATAAAGTCTCTAAATCTAATGCATTTGTACCCTTGCAAAGGTTGTAAAACTCTTTCTCATTACTAAGACTTGTCCCATGAACTCTAGGGTCATAGTTGTCTGGTGTAGGGACAACAGGGGGGTGGGTTTGACTGGTCCATTCTAGTGTTGATATATGTGATTTTACTTGGCATAGTTTTCTTCCTTGGCTTGTCCCACATGTATGGAACATCAGTACATACTTCTGCACTTCGGTCTTGGAGTCGTTCACAGAAACTGGACAAGGAAAATATGAAGGCCACTCAATGTTTACAAGCTCCATTATCCCTGTAATAGAAATAGCATATATAGAGATGATACGTGTTTGAATCGGTCGCCCGCGTGACGCAGTGTTTAGAGCGTCTGCTCTAGAGTCGCGGAGTAAGGAGTTGATCCTTACGTCGCGGGTTCGAATCCCAGTGTGGGACGTGGAGACCGGTCCTTCGGATGAGACCGTATAAACCGAGGCCCCGTGTCGCAGTAGGTGCTGGCACGAAAAAGATCCCTCACTGCTCAATGGCCGTAAGTGCCGAGTATAGGACAAAATTTGCAGCTCTCCACCGGCAAGTGGTGGCGTCTCCATATGAGTGAAAAATTCTCGAGAGGGACGTTAAACAACAAACAAACAAACAAAACATGTATGAATCAATAACGTCTGATTAAATAAGAAGGAAAAAATTCATGAATTATCATAACGTCATTCAAATATCATGCGGGTAGAATATGAACTACATACATGTACGCAACACAGGTACAGCCACCAGATATTATTTCTCCTGATGTAGATCTTAGCATAATCCATGGAATATATGGCTCGGCAGACTGTCTTGTCTCTGGTACACACGTGCATTTTAGGTAAATAAATTCAGGGTGTAATCCACAGGATACCTGGACACTGTCAATATGGTTTGCCACAGAAAGTCGATACCCATTGTCCTTCTTGTAGTTTATAAGACGATCAGCACTCTAACCACACTTATTCATTAAATACACCAACACATCAAAGGATTCCACATCAGGAATCTTTGATAATTCTTTATTCCTAAAGAGAGAAATATATATATATATATATATATATATATATATATATATATATATATATATATATATATATATATATATATATATATATATATATATATATATATATATCTATCTATCTATCTATCTATCTCTTACTCTCTCAATCTCTATATATATATATATCATTTGGTAAGATCTCTTTATAATAATTATAACTTTGAAATGGTTCAGGTCTTTATGGACATGAATAAGGTATTTATCAAACAAGGTGAAAAAGTGCTTATATTATATTATATAATTAACCATTAATGTGGTAGTTATATATAGATACATGTATTATGTAATATGAACAATACAAGCATTTTCGTAAATTATACAACTTCACCATAGTTTTTTAAATTGTAATATATGGTACAGTAGCTAGTTGATGACTTAAAAAAAGAACAAAAATTACCACTCTTCAATCTTTTTCATTGGTTCCAAGATCACTCTTTCTGCTCCAACAGTCACAGTCCTTCGATTTCTCTCAAAATCGACATACTCACTTTCGGTAATATGCGTCGTTATTATCTGAAATTCATATAAAAGAACATTTATATCTAGGTTTATTAAAACAGTTTTATGATAATTCTATATTGATTCAGTTTTGATTTCATCATTTCTGAAAGATGCCTCCAATTGAAGTTCGTTAGCTAATTCACACAGGCGAACAAGCTGTATTTTCCTCCGCAAACTACACTGTATACCTCTTTCTTGAAGATATTTCTTTAAATCTGGGACTTGCCAGCAAAAGAAATCAACGTCCTCATGCATTTCTCAACGTAGTTTATGATTATTGTACAGAAAAATGACTGGAAAGCTATTAGTTTAACTTGTTTCGATGGTAAAAAATATAAACCGGAAGTACCCTTGTGGAACATTTTTGATGCAGCGTGACTAAAAGTGGAACAAAACGATGTTCCGGCATAACTCGAAACGCTGCTATTAGTTCACATGAAACTATGATATCAAGGAATAATGCATTTCATATTTAGCAGATTGTAACACTTCAGTATTTGAGAGTTGTGAAAAGTCAGTATATATTTTTAATTTCTTTTTTTTTGTTTTTGAGACAAGGTGAAATACAGAGTGATATTTATAATCACATATATAAATCACAGGCGCTTGACGTTTTTAACCTTTCTTTCCATAAATAAAAAATCCCCCATACTATAATAATAACAAGGTTCGTCACGGTCGCCATCTTGAATTTTTCAGTTCAGCTACTTCGCCTCGATTTTTTAGTCTACAATGTCTACAATCTAGGTCTCTCTCAGACCTAGATTTTTCTTTTAAAACGATGTGTAGTAACGCACTTGCGTACTTGCACAGACAGCTTCGCGCCTGTAGAAAGAGGGGACATGGAGGTTCAATGATCTTGGCCAGCTCACCACTGTGATGAAAAATAAAACATACACATATCTATCCTTCTTTTTTTATAATTTTCATCGCTTCCAAACACTGAAAATAGTACCATTATATGGAAAAAATATTTATGCCAGAATGCAAGGGGTCTGGTTTACACGAGAAATTAGTAACCAGAATTCCAGGACCAAGCATAATTTTTATTTCCTCATGATTTTTTCTTCAACAAAATAAAAGGAAAAAATATTTCACATATTATTTCTAATGATTATGGAAAGCATCGGCCTGCTCAGCATTCAACATGTCGAAAAAGTTTGTTACTGTCTTTGCATGATTTTTCCCGCGAAACGTCATATTTCTTTTAACCAATGAAATTTAAGTAGAGGGAATTCCAATTTACATAACAACATCAACTTTCGGCCTCCCTTTTCTAAGTTTTACGGAATCGGTAGCAGTAGACTGAGTTTGAAGCGACATTTTAAGAATCAGAGAGGATTCAATGTGATTTGAGTTGAATTGCCCGAAAGTGGAGGCACAGTTAAAGTAAGTACTTGAGGGAAACGGTTGTATCCGTTAATTTTAAACACATTGTAGACTAAAAGATCGAGGCGAAGTAGCTGAACTGAAAAATTCAAGATGGCGACCGTGACGAACCTTGTTATTATTATAGTATGTTTTTTTTTTTTATTTATGGAAAGAAAGGTTAAAAACGTCAAGCGCCTGTGATATAAATATATATTTTGTATATAAAACATTTTATGACATGTATCCCTTGATAAAATAAATATTTCCAAATGCAATATACATGTATTTAGCTGCAGAACTGTAGCTCTCCGGAAAAAAATTGACAGACCGGAGACATGAGACTGTTTGTTTATTATTGATTATTTTCAAGTATCTTGTCTATTGACCACTATGAAAGCCAAATGGACTATTAAAAGTTAGCTCGGTGTAATGTAATACAAATAACATTTCCTTTCAAAGCAGTGATGCAACATACGAGGGCTGTTCGGAAATTATTGAGACATTGTGTATATTCTTCTTTCTAATGAACGTTTTTCGGTGAAAATTTGCATATACGTTTGACAAACTCTAAGAAGTTATAAAAACAAGAAATATTTTAAAAATATTTTATTTCATCTTTTCAATGATATATTAACGTGTCAATGGTAGGGATACCCGGCGCAGTCACGAAATCGGATATTGAAAATATGTAACACCAACGTTAAAACTCCCAGTGGACCCATAGTTAGAAAGAAAATAATTCAAATTATGTATATAATTTTTCACTTAAACTTTGACTTCATTTTGTGCAAGTTTGTTAGAATTTCGATCAGAAATACGGAGATCATTGAAAAATTTACGTGCGGTATAGCAATCTGATAACGACGACAAAACGGATTTTGACGTCAAGGCGGAGCAGCGGTTATACCTAAAATTTTGTGTAGCGGTATTGAGAACTCTTGTCCAGACTAAACGACCTGCTAAAACAATAACAATGCAATAAAACATGTCTAAGGGTTTATTTTTTCATTTGTATATATATTATTTTCTTACAAATAATTCAACCAGAGTAAAAACAAAAGCTTCGGACGACCATCAATTATTACGGACTAAATACCGTTGACCCGCGTTGCATAACTCGGTACTGCATGATGCTAAGTCAACCTGTATTTGACACTTTGTGTATATTTTACACTGGGGCAGCAATAGTACACGTTTTATTTTTTTATTTTATTTTATTTTTTTTTTAAAGAATCGATTAAGAATTATAAGAGACAGTTTGATTTTTGAAATGTTATATGTAATGACAGAGAAAGTAGATTGAACGCTTCCTGATCATTTCACAATGAGAATATATCGGCTGACCTGACGTTAAAATGACGTAGCGATACTGCTCCAGGTCAATAGACATATGCTTGTTGATAATTTCACCGGAACTTATTTAATTATCCTATAAATTAAAATTTTGTACATTTGTTTTATGTGTTCTTTAAGGTTTTGCCAAAGGTCAACGTGTCCAAAAATTTATTTTTACAATAGCTCCGAAACTATGTGGTTTATAAAGTTCAAACTTTTACAGTTTATAAATATATCATTGATTAACAGATAGAAAGTATCACTTGATAACAAATACTTAAAGAAAGTATTTATCGAGAAAAATTCTTTTCAAAAAATGCATATATTTTTTTTAAAATACACCTAATTAATTCCGTACTTTTAGTGAAGCCATCATTGCAGAAATAATATATGTTTATCAATGAAAGGCAAGTTGGACTTCGATAGCCTCTGGAAAGTTGTTTTCCCTGATTATTTAATCCAAATGTTAAGATTTGAAACCGAAAGTACATTGTAAATGGCGGATTTTACAGGGGTCTTGTCTTTATACATGTCATGCTTTCAATAACAGCCTTTCATAGACCATTCAAGTCCAACTTGCCCTTCATTGATAAACATATATTATTTCTTCAATGATGGTTTTCACTAAAAGTACAGAATTAAGCAGGTGCATTTTTTTTTAAAAATATGCATTTTTTTTGAAATTGTTTTTTCTCAAAAAATATATTTTTTTAAATATTTGTTTTTAAGTGATACTTTCTATCTCTTAATCAATGATATATTTATAAACTGTAAAAGTTTTAACTTTATACCTCACATAGTTTTTAAGCTGTTGAAAAATAAATTTTTGGGCATGTTGACCTTTGGTAAAACCTTAAAAAACGTTGACGAATTTTTATGAATTTATCTCTGTCCTTCGTGGAGTAAAAGTATTTGTCTCAATAATTTTCGAATAGCCCTCGTAACTTCTGTAAAACGTTGTGTAAAAAGTTTCAAGCTTAGGAAGGAGACAAGAGTTGTACAGTATTCTTTGTCAAAAGAGATTTTCTGTACAAACAAATCACCTAAGGTGTAAACAACAAAGTAGTACAGAGACCTTATAGTTACAAAAAGCTGGCCTTGTATTTGGTCATAATATTTGTTTGAAGGCTTCAAAACAATATTGCCCTCATCATCATATCTCAAAAATTTGAAATTTTTCCCTGGTTTCACAAGATCATTTCTGCCATTAAATGGACATTTAATTTCTACTATGCTACTGTCATCAACAACGGCATCAGGAGAAGCACCTAAATAGGCCTATCTAAACAAACCAAAAAAAAAAACCAACACATTTCTTAGCATTTACGTTAAATTTGCTGTTGAATACTTTCAGAGCTTTTGCCTCATAATTTTTTCCATGTCGCAGAGCTTCACTGTTGATTTTAACATCAGACAATAATGCAGCACACAGCTTCTTGGTATTTCTACGAAAAGTGGCCTTGCATATTTCCCCAAACTTTGATGCCGTTAGACGCCACTTTTTTCCGATGAACCAAATTTGGCTTGCACTCTGCTGTTTTGTGGACTCTTCAATCCTTACTACATCCGATTCTGTACCTATGCATGTGTAAAATTAGCATTAAATTTTAAACAGCTAAAATCATAAGAGTTAGATTTATTTCACAAAATCCATTACACGTACCTTTATGGAATTGTCCACCCAGTGCTCAGTAAAAGGCATCTGGCAATAGTCGTGGTCTTTGACTGCAGCCTAGAAAAGAATTTTTTGTCATTTCATTTACTAGTACATTGTTAAGAATGCTACTTTTCAGGAATAAATTTTTTTTTTTTTATTTCTTTAACATATACAGTTGAACTTCGGTATCTCGAACACTGATATCTCGAATACCATGGATATGTCAAAGTGATTTGGAAGTTCCCAATCGCTTATTTTTTTAAAAGTATTTTACCCTCGATATCTCGAATCATCGGATATCTCGAAGTTTTTTCTTGGTCCCATCGAGTTCGAGATAAAGGGGTATGACTGTATATACCTGAATATTTACCTTCCCATACATGTATCGGAATGAGATATCATTTGAGGACTGGCTGAAATAACTGGTAACTATAAATTGTTCAAAGTCTTTGTATCCAGTTTCTTCTTTTCTCAAGCCTTGGGTCACTAAGGAAGTCTGCAGCTAACTTTCTCTTGGTTGGCAGCTTTTCAGCTTTGACTGGAGATCCTTGAAAGCACACAAATGAAACCCATAAAACATTCAGTCATTTTCTGTAGTTATAAATGAATAATTATGTTTTAAAACCAATAGTTTTAGATACAAATTCAAAGAAATTAACAATATCCAGCATTTTTGTACATGTATTAAATTATCTATAGGAACAATGAATTACCATCATAGGAGGATTTTGGTTTTGTAAACGTCATAAATGTATCAGTGCAAGACTTCCCCAGTTTGAGTTCTGATTCTGCAAACTCTTTTACCATCAGGAGAACTGCAGCAATGTGTTTGCAGCTTCCATGAAGCCCCTTCCCTGCTGGACACTCACAGTGTGTGTAAAGGATCTCCAGACTTTTTGTCTAATCTTACCCACAGGTGCTTGAGGACAGGAACCCCCCCCTCCCCATACAGACCCCCGGGCTTGTTCGACTTTTTTTCTCATAAATTATATATGGCTGACACATGTGATATAATCTCTATATCATCAATTCAGAAAATTGACTTAAACAAACATTTCATAAAAAATTACTTTCCTACCCTATATATAAAAAACAACAAGGTTGCCAACTTCGTCTGCAAACCGAGAGGGACTGCCGAGGAATTTTTGTTGAATTGTCTCATAAATCTATACATAGCCCTAAAATCAACAACTCATGTCGTAGGTTAAATATTCTTTTCATTAACCACCGACTCTCATAAAAGTTTAGGCACTTAAACAGTCGTTTCGGCCAATTTTCCACAAGGATGTTAGCGTTTAAAACTGATCAAAGCTTATTCAACGGAAGTGATGAGGATACGTCTTTCTACCCAAATACGCAGTTCTGCAGAAAGTCTGAAACACTGTTTTGAAATAAGCATTTGAAGAAATTTGGTTGAGATACACTTTAAAAATATATTTCAAATGTATTGGAAGCATAGAATTCTTAACCACTAATGTAAATGAATTGTTTCTAATTATTTTTCAACTACCTGATTTGCAGGTTTCGTTTTGAGAGTTATGCCCCTTTTAAAAATGCAATTTATGTAAATACCTTCTTTTCACTAGATATTTTCGCGTAAAATCTAGAAAATGTTAGAAGAAATATTCCTTTTATTAAAAATTCGTACAAAAAACAAGAATGTATCCAGTGTTTATACCTTGCACTCATATTTGGTATATGGAGGAAATGGGTAATAGTCCTCTCCTCATTACTTCCGTTGAATAAGCTTTGACGAAGTTGGCAACCTTGTTGTTTTTTATATATAGGGTAGGAAAGTAATTTTTTATAAAATGTTTGTTTAAGTCAATTTTCCGAATTGGCGATATAGAGATTATATCACAGATGTGTCAGCCATATATAATTTATGAGAAAAAAGTCGAACAAGCCCGGGGGTCTGCATCGGGGGGGGGGGGGGGTCCTGTCCTCAAGCACCTGTGATCTTACCTTGTATATATATGATACCTGTATCAATTAACATTATTATGAAATGAACAACATCAAGAGCACTAATGCTTACTAACTTTGTGATGTTTTAAAATAATTTCAGTTGTAAACTTGATTAAAAAAAAACAACCTTTTTCTCCATTGCTGCTCCTACAATGCCACTTAGGTAGATGTTATCCCGAATGAATATCGAGCACGCTAAAACTCTGTCACTTTCATACATAAGTTGTCCTTTTGTCACAGACTTTAAATCATTTCTTGATTGCCTGTCATCTGAATGAAAGTAATAATCTATACTTATAAATTAATAAATTTTGCAAATAAACTCCAAAACGGCTGCACCAGAGTTCTTAATTATTCCTCTATGAATACACTAGATATGAGGTGATGTCCGTAAACTATATTTAGATTTCACTCGCATAGTAAGCATCGTACATTAAATTAAAATTCTACTTTCATTTTCAATAAACAGCCATGAAATAGCAAAAACGTGAGTACAGTGGCGGTTCCGGTTGGCGGATCTAAGTTACTGGCAATTTTTAATGAAACTGACAGCAAGCAATCGTTTATTTATTTCATAAAACGTCATCACTGAATAATTCAATCAAAAATTGATTTAAATAATATAAAAGAAATAAGTTGTGATAACCGATTAAAAAGGGAAATGTGCAAATTATTTTCGTCATTCACTGATCTTATAAGATAATAATATTGATGGAAACTTCTAGAACATCATATAGCATCGAGCCCGATGTTAAAAAGAAAAACGAGGTGATTATAGCTGCACGAGCATAATAAAAGCTTCTGTGTGAATGTTCATTGAAATAATGGTAAATCATTGATAACACTATAAGTTGTTAATATATTTATGCATCGAAAGACTATTAGTAGGTTTTCCTAATAAATTTATAGATAATTTGTTATTTGTATATTTCTCACTGCATGAAAGCATCGTGGCAACGAACCCGAAGTACAATTTGTACTTCGTAATTAATTTGCTTACATGAAAAGAGAAAAATAATGAGTAAGATATTGTTCAAAAACAATTAAAGCTGTTAAAATTTTGTGCTTTAATCAATACATTTCAGTTTTTTTTTTTTTGTTTTGTTTTGTTTTGTTTTGTTTCTGAATGCAGTCTTTTGTATCAAATACTCGGCCAATTCAAAGGGCGTCAAAAGCTAATGTAAAAAAAAATCAATTTATTAGTAAAATGTGCATATTCGCTGCTTTTATCCTTGACGAAAATGAAATGAAATAAGAGCACCTGAAGTACAATATCCATAACATAGTATAACAGGTTTCACAATAAACGTCATTAAAAGAAATTATTTTTCAAGTTTTTATAAAAAGGGGGGGGGGGGGTGGTGGAGACGTACATCTCCAAAACTAAATGCGGGATTTTGAACAAAGTATTTCTTCCTGCTATAAGCTTTTAGGTTGTCGGTAGAAACTTCAATATGTATTATTTGAATTTTTGTGTCGGTAGTGGTATAAATTCAATTCCCCGCGCTTGCGCGGGATTTCATCTAGTGTACATGTATTTTAAGATAAATACTTCTGATGATCATGAACTCCAGTGTATCACCTAACAGTAATAATTTCAGGTGATTAAGGGGGGGGGGGAAATCCATTATTATTTTTTTCTTATTCATTTTTATTTTAAATGAACGTGTATACAGATTTTATCACATGTTTACTACTTAATTTAGTGGATATAGCTCATATGATATCATTTTCATATATCAACAGTTGTGACGTCACAATATTGTTTCTGTACAAAAGTGATGTCAGATGAAGTGGATTCACATGTAAAAACAGTGTAAAACATGTTATATCCAAGTGTAAAACATGTTATGGCTATGTGTAAAACGTATTATAAAAAGACTCTCCCATTGCTTTGTGGTTGAATATGATTTTTATCCAATTAGTTACGTGTTTTCTATCCCCTCACCAAGGCTCGGGGATAGAAAACGCACAACTGAGTTTCTCGTTGGATAAAAATCATATCCAAACACAAACCATGGGAGATCCTATATGCATGATAAACTCATTTTACCAGCCATTCTGTAAATAAAGTATGCCTCTATCTGCTCCTTTGATAACTTTGGTAGGATGACATGGCGGTCTTTCTGTAGCTGTTTAAAACCAGATGTGGGCCAGTCTATCACAGAAGGTTTAGGTAGTGTTACGGAAGCTGGGGTGAAATTGTCGTTTCTGATGTATTCTCTTAATCTAATAGTATAGAATAAATTTAAAACAATTCTCTCTCTCTCTCTCTACACATATACATATATATATAGAGAGAGAGATCAAGTGCTAAAAATCATTGTTGAGGTACATTTGTATACTAAGTTGCATGTTACATTTTATCGCGATAGGGTCTCATTATTTTGTTTTCTACATGTAATATTCCATCCTCACAATGTCAAGGTTTTATGATTTCGGAACTTCACACAAACCCTTGACATACATGTAAGTCGCTATTTAAAAGTTGGGCTAGAAAGCTACCATTTCATTTGTTCCTGGTCTAGGACTGGAACCAATCAGAAAACAGCCTTTATTGTAGGTAAGTTTTGTAAATAAATATGACTCGTCTTAAAAATGGAAAAGTGTCGATATTGTAGGATTTGTGACTAGTTGCATTAAATGAAACATCGGGGATCAATTTTTGGAAGATCGTCATCCTAACAATCTCAAAAGATTAGATAGAACGTTCTATCGTTAAAATGATATTGTCCTACGGACCCGGTTTAACGATAGAATTCGTTCCGTGTATTGGCAAGGTTGCAAAATAAACACGGGCGATAACTCGTACTCTGTGCATTTTCTATGAACAATCCAGAGAGTTCCGAATGTCAACATGGCGTTAAATTTGAAGCGAGGAAAAAACGTTGAATAAATTAGTTGAATTTTCGTATTTATATGGATTATTTTTTAGGTTTAAAGACATATACCATCTCAAAAAGGTTTGTTATGATTAATTTGGTAGTTATTTTCAGTGCAACTCCTTTTGTATTCTCCAAAATCATTTCGGAGTGGATCCACTCCGATTTGCTACGTTGCAAGTATAGAGGACGTATTCTAACTATGGTGAGGGCTTGTCCCGAGACACAGTTAGATTATTCTAACTAACAAAAGATATGCTCTGGAGTTGGGCCATTTGAAAACGACGGATTTGAAAATTATATTCTCATTGGTTATAATTAGTTTATAATTACCCATTAAGTCATGTGTTACTACAAACCCAACTTTTAAATAGCGACTTATGTCAAGGGTTTGTGTGAAGTTCCGAAATCACAAACCCTTGACATTGTGAGGATGGTAATATTCGTATTTGTTGTTTAATATACTGCAACAAAATTAAACTACTATATGATAAATGAAACTACCTATCGATTAGCTGTGTGTTTCGCCCAGTTGTGCGGGATCCGCGATCAGCCAACTCTTTCTTCAACTGTGGTACCGGCCAATCTACAAGAGCGTCTGTGGAGTCCATGTTGTTTTTATAAGTTGCAAGCACTTTCAAGATTCAAGCGTCCAGCGTACCACTTATAAAACAGCAGCGCCGCCAAATGTTTAATGACGTGAATGAAAGCTATTGAACGATTTAGAAGATCCATAGAAGTGTAAAATAAAGTGATAAATGAAGCTTCATTTACCCAAAAGCAAGAAAAATATGATGATTAGGATCAACGAAATAATTAGTCTAGTACTCGGTAACAACCCAATAAGTAAAACTTGCCCGCATTTATCACTATCACAATGCAGACTGTTAACAAAACAATAGAGCTTCAGTACTGTGTTTAACCTC